TCGTCTCGATCTCCTGACCTCGTGATCCGCCCGCCTTGGCCTCCCAAAGAGCTGGGATTACAGGTGTGAGCCATCGAGCTTGGCCTGAAAAATTATTTTTGTATATGTTAATTTGTTAATGAGTTTCATGTTTTTCTTCATGGTTTTTTGTATTCTAATCTGAATTGTTTGCTCTTTTTGAATTGTTGAGTACTGTTAAGTTGGGCTTTGCCATTGTTACGGGGTTCTCTGCCTCTCGACTTATGATCTGTTTCCCAGATCCCATGGCTTTGTTGTTTGGGTGCAGGACATCTTCCAATAGCTTTGAGACCTTCCTGTCTGTAAAGTTCTGTTTTGCACTGGATTACTTAAAAAATTTATTTTATCTTTGTCACCAGACTGGAGTGTACCAGTAGTGCTGTTTTGGCTCACTGCAACCTCCACCCCCCGGGTTCAAGTGATTCTCTTGCTTCAGCCTCCCGAGTAGCTGGGATTACAGGTGCATGCCACTGCACCCACCTAATTTTTGTGTTTTTAGTAGAGACAGGGTTTCAGCATGTTGGTTGGGCAGGATGGTCTCAATCTCCTGACCTCAGGTGATCCACCCGCCTTGGCCTCCCGAAGTGCTGGGATTATAGGCGTTGAGCCACTGTGCCTGGCCAGAAATTTTAAAATATTTTTTGAGATGGAGTTTCACTCTTGTTGCCTAGGCTGGAGTGCAATGGCATGATTTCGGCTCACTGTAACCTTTGCCTCCCAGATTCAAGCAATTCTGCTTCAGCCTCCTGAGTAGCTGCAATTACAGGCACGCACCACCATGCTAGGCTAATTTATTTTTGTATTTAGTAGAGATGGGGTTTCACTGTGTTAGGCTGGTCTCAAACTCCTGACCTCAGGTGATCCACCTGCTTCGACCTCCCAAAGTGCTGGGATTACAGGCGTGTGCCACTGCACCTGGCCCCAGAAATTCATTTTAGATCTTGGGTCTTATATATGGAATCTTTCTTAACTCTCAAATCACTTGAGGTTTTACCAGTGTTCTTATATTTCACAACTATATCTTGGGTTTGTTTCATACATTGTACTGGGCACTCAGTCTTGTCATTGTGTAAACTTGGTCTTCAGATACGGGAAATAATACTGAACTGATTCTTTCCCCATCTCCCACCTCAATCTTTGGAGTTCTTACTTGGGTATAAGACCTGGACATGTGTTTCCATAATCTTTAAATTTTCGTAGAGACTGGTCTTGAACTCTTGGCTTCCCAGAGTGCTGGGATTACAGGCATGTGCCATGGCATCCTGCCTTATCTTTCAACTTTTAGAAACATCCCAAAATTTCAATTGTGTCAATTTATTTATTGGGGGTTGGGAGTGGCAAGGGGAACTGGGTTTCTCTCTTGCCGTCCAGGCTGGAGTGCAGTGGCATGTTGGCTCACTGCAACCTCGGCTTCCTGGGTTCTAGCAATTCTGCCTCACCCTCCTGAGTAGCTGGGACTACAGATGCACATCACCGTGCCCAGCTAATTTTTGTATTTTTAGTAGAGACAGGTTTCGCCATGTTGGCCAGGATGGTCTCGAACTTCTGACCTCAGGTGATCCACCTGCTTCAGCTTCCTAAAGTGCTGGGATTACAGGTGTGCGCCACTGCACTTGGCCTCAGAAATTCATTTTAGATCTTGGGTTTTATATATGGAATCTTTCTGGGATTACAGGCGTGAGCTACGGTGCATGGCCAATTATGTCAATTTCTTTTTTTTGTTGTTTGTTTTTGAAATGGAGTCTCACTCTGTTGCCTGGCTGGAGTATAGTGGCACGATCTCGGCTTGCAACCTCCGCCTCCTGGGTTCAAGTAATTCTCCTGCCTCAGCCTCCCGAGTAGCTGGGACTACACGTGTGCGCCACCACGCCCAGTTAATTTTTGTATTTTTAGTAGAGACGGGGTTTCACCTTGTTGGCCAGGATGGTCTTGATCTCTTGACTTTGTAATCCACCTGCCTTGGCCTCTCAAAGTGCTGGGATTCCAGGTGTGAGCCACCATGCCTGGCCAATTGTATCAGTTTCTAAGACCGCCTCCCATCTGTTATAAATGACACACCAACATACCTTTTTCTCTAAGATTATTAATGATAACCTGTATAAACGTTTGTTTCCAAGATACTTTGTTTTCCTGTTGCTTTGGTTTCTGGTTTTCATGTTAGAAAATTTCCTTAGATGTTTGATGATCCTTGGCTCATGTTTAGGAGTGGAACACTTTAAAAGCTAATTGGATGTTATGTGTGTGGGGCTAGCAGGGGAGCTTTTCAATCACTGGCTTCACTGTTAAGTGATCTGGCTGTGTCATTTTATTGATAAATTACTTGATGTATCCCTTGTTTTGTTTTCTCAAGCTGGTCAGGCTCACCAGAGAAGTCTTACACTCTCCTCCATAAAAGATTTAAAAGGTGGTCAGTTTCTGATCCCAGTGGAGGAAAAAGAGGTCGAGGGATCTCAAAAAGTAAACTTTTTTTTTTTTTTTTTTT